ATGTCAAGGGGGCCACACGGCCATCCAGCCTGACAGCAGCCATGTCTGTGTGCCATGGAGAGGAAGCAGTGTGCAGCGGCGGGGCCACGCCCTCCATGGGCCTGGCCAACATCTCTGTGGTGAGACCTGTGGCCACTGCGGTAGGCAGCACCATCCCTGCTGCCCAGGCCTGTCCCAGCTAGCAGGTCCTGAAAGGAAAGAGAGGGTGTCCCAGAGCTGGTGTTCCTGCACCTGGAGCTGGTGCCCTCGCTGTGCTTCATGCTGGCTGCTGGTTCCTGGCTGACCCTGAGAAGACATTTTGGGATGAGGGGAACCCAAGAGCCACTTAGCCTTCTGTTCCTGCCTCCTTCTGCACTCCACCTCCAATTCCCTTCTCATCTCCCCAGCTCTAGGCACACTCTCTGCGATGCCTCCCCTCCTCTTGCCTGTTTTACACAGTGTGTGTGAGCATATAAAGGGGAGCCTGGGGCTGTGGCTGAGCTTGAAGCCGGGAGCAGACCAGCTGAGTGGAAAGGGGCTTAGAGTCGCTCAGCCCTCCAGCCTGGAAAGGGGCTTTGGGCCAGTAGCGGGTCAGCTAAATATGTATAGATTTGGCCATTCCAGTTGTTAGAATGTTGGTATGTCCATATTCATTGGTAAAGAGCTGAGGTCTTGAGGTTCTCAAATGCTGCCCATCATCCCAGCCACCTCAGCCTTGTTCTGAAAATGACTTGTTACCACAGCTGAAATGTTTAATGGCTGGCACACCAAGAACACCCTTCTGGAACTTGCTGGAACCCTGCCGATAGGTTTCTCCCCCAAAAATTTTATTGTAAAAATGTTCATACATACAACAAAGTTGAAAAAATTTTAACACCCACATACTCACCACCTGGACTGTGCCATTAACTTTTTACTAGACTTGCTTTATCATGTATTTACTCACTTCTTCATCCATCAATCCATCTTGTTTTTAATGCCTTTCAAAGATAATTTGAGACATCAGTATACTCCCCTCTAAGTACTTCCTGCTGTGAGGTTTTTTAAATATTTTGAATAAATATTTGAATATAGCCCTGGCTGGGTTCCTGATCATAGGGAAGGAGCACCTTGGACAGCTCCTGCCACACCCACTGGGCAGAAGGTGCTTGAATACGGCCTCACGTGTGCTGCGGGAAGCGTCCCAGCTCTGACTTTTGGCTCCTGGCTGTGCTTTGCACGATGCTCCACTAAAGGGCCAGATTCTGCTAGTGGCCAAGCTACATCTTGGGTGCATGCTGTGGACAGAGTTAGATAGTTTCACCTGGGTTCCCCAAACAGGTGATGGCCCTGAGCCCTGCCTCTATACCTCTATACTCTTATATATAATCTATATATAAGAGTTCTCTGTCTTAATTTAGTCTTTCTAGCCCTCTGTGCTTCTTCCCTGCATAACCCCCCACCCCCCCTGCAAGAGGAACTCCCCATCACTGTTCCCACAATGACCCCCTTTCTCTTCTCACAAATTCCCCTGATGTCTTTGCAGCTCTTCGGCTTTATCAACTTCTTCCTATGGGCTGGGAACTGTTGGTTTGTGTTCAAGGAGACCCCGTGGCATGGACAGGGCCAGGGCCAGGGCCAGGACCAGGCCCAGGGTCCCAGCCAGGAGAGCGCAGCTGAGCAGGGAGCAGTGGAGAAGCAGTAAGCAGCCCCCTACCTGGCTACTCCCGAACTGGACAGCACCTCTTCAACCACCTCCGGCTTCCAGGACCTCCCTCTTCCTACTCCTCCAGTTCCCCTTCCCCATCATTCTGGTCTTTGAGCTTTGAGACAATGGGCAGGCATCAGCTGTTGGAAACCTGGACAGCCCTCCCAGTGGCTTCCTGTTCTTCTTCTTGCTGGAGCCATGAATGGCAGGAGCTCAGTGCTTCTTGTCCTGTGCCTGGGCCCAGGGATCTTACTTGGGGTCTTATTTGTACTCTCACAGTCTCTGAGAATCAGCCTCTGCTGCGGGTGAGGGGGTAGGAAATCAGTGCCCTGAGGCTGGTTCCTAGCAGCCACCTTTCTGTCAACCTCCAGCTTCAACAGCAGTAGGGAAGGGAAATCAGCTAGTAGCCTTCCCTTTGTGTGGAGGCCCCAACAGTGGTTTGGTGACCCCTCCTCATTGGCTGTCACCTAGTCCCTGTGTCTGATCTCCAGTCACCCCAGGACTCAGTGTGTCTCCCACTGTCTTCTTTGGCCTCTGCTCACCCACAAAGTCCACCATGTGTGAACCAGAGAGGCCCACTAGCCCAGAAAACAGCCCCGTGGAGGGTCCTGATGAGGCCTAGACTCAGCTGGGAGCAAGGTAAATTGCAACTGAGTTTCAGCTTCAAGAAAGTAAAGCCAGTAAACTTGCTGGCATAATCAATTTCTTCTATCCCCTCAATCATCCCACCCACCAGGCTGGGGCACTTTCCACCAACACTCTAAACTCTACTTTAGAAATTCCCTATCTTCCTCCCTGTCCTTCTTGGTCTCACACTTGGGACTCACAGTGTGGAGTCTTGGACCTGCCCCCCATTCCTTTACTTCTCTGTTTATCTCCCTTCCCAGCCTCTTGCATCTGAGGCATTTGAGATCCTTTTTGAAGTCTGTCCAGGCCTTTCTTTTATTCCTGTGGGGCCAGAAAGGGGCTTAGGAAGGGCCAAAGGACTATCATGAGGCTACATTGCCCCTGAGCCCCAGGATGGATGGGCCCATTTTTTCCTTATTCCTTGCTCAGTTTTTTCCCCCGCTCCTTCTCTAGTCCTTCTTTCATATTTCTCCTTCTCATCTTTTAAACAAGATGTTCCCCCTCCCCATGCCCTTCCATTCCTCCCCTGTGTCCTTTTTTCTCGCAGTCTCTATCCCCTCTCCAGTCCATGGCAGGCCGATGCTATTGGTGCTTCTTCACTTTGGGACCCAGATCCATATTTGTCTTTAGTGTAAATCCTCTTCCTGATACCTCCTTCAGACCTTCTCTGGGCCCCAAGGCTGAGAGTCAGTTAACTGGGTTAGGACCATTTGCTTCCTGCCCAGCTCAATCTGCCCTGGCCATAGGGCTTCCCAGGGAAGGAATAAGAGAGAAGAATCCAACCACTTTCCAATCCAGTGCCAATTGGCCCACTAAGCATCCCAAAGGTGAATGTGCTCTGTGCCAATCTCTCCTCAGGACTGAGTCAACCCCCTTCAACCTCCTCACCTCTGTAAACACCATCCATAGAAACATGTACATTACTGGGGTACCTAGGAGTCAGGACTTTTGACTTCAGGCCCATCATTTCCTCTTGATAGGGAAAGGGTGAGATTTATGTCCCCAAATGCTCCAGAGTCCTTCAGTGAAAGAATCATTTTTGTTTGTTTGTTTGTTTGTTTGTTTAAGATTTTCAGGGAGATATTTGAGGAGGAAAGAAAGGAGATGGGGTGAGAGGGTTTCTAAGTCTGAAACTCTCTCTGTCATGAGCTGTCCCCATGGTTACTCAAGGACAAGGGGGGACAGTTTTGTCTACAGCTCCAGAGACACAGAGAACAAAGGGGCGACCTTCATTTTTCTTCAAGCCAGCCTCTGTGGGGGTCTGTGAGCAGCTTCTACTGGGTCTTTGTTTGGATTCTGTGTCTGTATTTATAATTTATTTGAAATGTGCTGGATAGTGTTCTCATTTGGGGGCTGAAGTTAGCAACTGGCCCTTCAGCTAGGGAAAGCGGTTGCAAGTGGGGGTGGCGGGGGGGGGGGGTGGAGATTATATTCACTCCTGCCAAGGACTCCCAGCTCAGAATTCTCTTTAAAGCAAGGAAGGCTTGTTCTCTTTCTTCTCAAGAGGCTCTCTTGTTCTCTGTCAGGAAAGTCTTTTTTTTTTTTTTTTTTTTTTATTCACGTGGAAATCCTATGGAGAGTCTTGATTTAGGCTATGGCCTCACTCTCTTTGGCCACCCGAAGAGGAAAGGCTACTTCACCTCATTACCTCCAGAGGGCTGGGCGGGGCCAAGTACCTCATAGGACTTATGTTCTTTCCAGCCAGGGCTAGTATCACTGCTTTGCCCAGTGGGGCCTGAGGTAGAAGAAGGTGTCTGGTTTCTCCAGCTGCTGCAGGAGGCTAATGGGCAAGGCACTTGCCCTTTGTCCCACAGACTCTAACTCAGCGCCAGGGTGCCCACCTAGGACCTTTCCTGGACATGAGTTTCCTTCACTGTTGTGGTCATGAGTCTCTTACTTCTGGGATTGCAGATCAGGGGTGGGGGGAGAATGTTGCATGTTGTTTTCTGGTGCTTGTTATTAAACATTTGAATAAACAGTGCTGAAAGTACTTGCACTGAAGGATCTGTGACTGGAGTCCTTCTGGGGATTTGTTTTTCTTCCTTTCTCTTATTTTAAGTTCTTGGACAAATGTCAGGACTTTCTGATAAGTCAGACTGCTTTTTGGGGTGCACAGAGGAGAGCAGTTGTTCCTAGCAGGCTCTGGTCTAGTGACATATCCTCTTTTGGTGGCACCCAATTAGACCAAAGTAACTGGGACTCATTAAACACTCTGGAGCAAATTGAAAAGGTGAGAGATAGTGACTTCCACAAAGCTGTTTCCATGTGCTGTCCTACCATCTGTGACCCAAATGGGCTTCCTGTCAGGAGTTGAGGGCCATATGCTTCGATTTCTTAACTATTAGCTTCTTGTTGAACAAACTTGCACATCTATCCCCCTTCACACAGTCACCCACTACATTTACATCCCCTAGAAAAATACACTTGGTTACAATCGAACAATTCAATTTTTACCAGATTCCTGGACAGCCTAGGGATCATCTGTGGGTCTCAGGTTGATTCCCTGCCCTCAGATATTATTCTTGAAGTACTTACACCTTCCCTGGATGAACAGGAGAAGAAAATCTGAAGTCTTGCTCCCAAACTTGTTTTCCCCTTAGCTAAAGGGTCAAGGTGGGGGGGGGTGAGGTGTGAGAGGTTGAGGAAAAAGGGTTAGTATTTCTTTCCTAATGTGGGGGGGGGGGTTGGAGGAGGCAGACTTTTGTCTCTTGATTGTGTGAAGGTGGGAAGAAATGTTATCAGCTGAGAAGAGGAAAGAAATGGATGATTAAGGTACTTTCCAGACCTTAGCAAGGAAGATGACAGCTCTGATGAGAAATCTCCCTATGCCGAGGCTTCAGAAGCAACCCTTCCAGCAGAGAAAGCATTCATTAGAAAAAGAAGGCAAAGTGATGGATGAAGTCAGGGTCCAGCCAGGGTTTGGGAAGAGGCGGTACAGGGTATCGACCGCAGTTCTCAGGAGAAGAGAGACGGATCAGCATAGATGCTGCAAACACCAGCCGCCTCGGGGCCACCCCAGTTCCGGGGCTGGCTCTGGCTCGGAGACAGCCTTCTGTCATCGTGACAGGTGATCTTGGTCAGCTTAGCCAGGTCCTCTCAAACCCAGACAACGCCACTCCAACCCTCTGCTCTGCATCAGGGCAGCGTGGGTTTCCCACAGAGGAAGCACGACACGGGAGCCGAGGCCCTCCCCCACTCCAACCCCTGTGTCCTTCAGCACATCCTACAGACTCCCTCCCCTTGCCCTTCTGATTCACAGCGCCCACCTCCCTGCACCTACCCTATTCGATCTACAGGGGAGCGGAATCGCTTCGTGGCCGCCAGCCCGGGAAGGGGCGCCAGCCAGCTGGCGGACGCACGGCTTAGAGGGGCGTCTGGGCAAAGAAAGGTTTGGGGCTGGGAGAGGTGCAGTGAGCCTGGGAGAGTGGACTGGTAGCACAAAGAATGTGTGCGTAAGGGTTAGAAGAGGAGATCCTGGAGCTTTGGTCTTCTCTTTTCCCTCCGCAATTGTGCATTTCGGAGGGACTCTGGCGGCAAGCTAGGTAGGCAATAGCATCCGCTCCAAGACTACACTTCCCAGAAGGCTGTGCAGAAGGGAGGGGGCGGGGAGCAGGCAACCTGTGTTGCGCTTGCGCAAAGAGTGAGCCGGACGGGCAGGTTGGGGGGAGAGGGGAGGCGTGCCCGCGACGAGAGCGAGGGGGAGGGGGCCGAGCGGCGGCGGCGCCAGGGCGGGCGCGCGTCCGCGGCGGTGATGGCGGTGCGTGAACGCGCGGCGGCAGCAATGGCCGCTCTGGAGCGGCGGGTGCCGAGTCTCGATGACTTCGCGGGACAGAGCTGGAGCTCGTGGGTGGAGCGGGCCGACCTGCCCGCGGCTGACGGTGAGTGAAGCCACCCTAAAGTCCGGGGACCCCATCACTATCTCCCCTCCCCCCTTCCGGGCCCCCGCCAGCTGAGGGGAGCCGCCGACTGGAGCCGCCGTCCCGCTCCCCGGCCCCCCAAACAAAGGACCCGCCGGGTCCTAGTGCCCGCCCGCTCCGTCACCTTCGCGCCTCCGGGTCCTAGCGCCGGCTCAGCGCTCGCAGCCCACCCAGCCCACCTCTGCCTCTGCCAGTCCCCAATATCTGCCCCCACATAGGCTTGCCTTTATCTTTCTCCTTACCTGCTGGTCCCCAACTCACGCCCCTCCGGCACCTGCCTCTAGCTTTCCCTGTCCGCAACAGTCCTCTCCACGTGTTTCCCACGCACCCCACTTCTGTGCCCCCTTCCTCACCCCTCTTGTTCCTTCGCATTTTGCCCCACACCTCCTGCTCCTTTTTGGCGTTTGTCTGCAGCTGCAGTGCTTTTAGACCCCCGCCCCCTCCACGTTAGTTCCTCCGTCCATCCATCTATCCTCCCTCTCTCCCTCCATCCTTCAGTCCATCCATCCATGCTTCCAACCCTCTGTCCTTTCCCAGGCCTCTTGCCCTGCCTCTTGGCTCTCTCCTTTGACTCCCACCTTCTCCAGGCCCGAGTGCCTTAGTGAGCGGGCCTACAGCCCCTTCTTCTGATCTTTGTCTTCTGGGCCCCAGGGAGCACCTGGCCTCGTGGCCTTCCGGGGTGACAGCAGGCATCACGCCCCTGAAGAAGTTTGCAAGTGAGAAGAGGTGGAGGAGGAGACGGCATGGAGGGGTCTCTAATGACACTTGTTCTCCTCTGAGACATCTGACTCTCAGTTTCGTTCTGTCCATCATTCCCTGCACTTGCATTTCACAGACTTAGAAGGGGAACTGCCCCTTGTCTCTTGCGTGCCTAACCCACCTCCCCTCATATCTGGATATTATATAAGATTGTCAATGATCTTCTCATCCTATAAGGGAGCATATCTGTTAATGGGCATCAGAGAGCAGACCTAAGTGGGAGCCTAGGCCACCCCGGGACTGCCCCATGCTGGGTGGGCAAGGATGGGGCCATTGTCAGGGTCTGGGTGCATTGAGAACCGGAAATGGAGTCAGACGGGTTTGGTGACTCAGAATTGATTTTTTTTTTCCAAGGGACAGGGAGGGGGCGTAGAGGAGGGAGGGGGGAGGAGAGAGGTAGGGGGATGGGGAAAAAGCTGCTTTGCACAGCTAAGATGTTTTTGTCATTAACCCAGAAACTGAGGTACAAGGGCAACCCCTGCCCAAAGCCCCTCTAAGGAGGGGAGGGACTTGCATAGCTGACCAAGGAGACTTTGAAGATGCCCAAGGACCAAAGACAGCAGTTTCTCTGCTCTGTGCCCATCCTATCAGTGCAGGACCTGAGAGGCTGGGTGTAACTTTGACAATGCTGTGGTAACCCAGGTGGAGCAAAATTGAATTCATAGTGGTAGGGACCTGGGAGAGCATCTATTTGGGATGCCACAGAGTAGCAGAAAGGACCCATCTGAGAAATCTCAAGAAGAGACTCAAGGATTTATAGAAAAATTGGTTAAGGATTGTTTCCCCTTTAAATGGGGAAGCAGGCCCAGAAAAGAGATGATAGTTACCACAATCACCCAACTAGTTATCAGTGGAACGAACCCTGAACTGCACCTTGAAGTGAAGGGTCTCGTAAGAAAGGTGGATGGATTCTTCTTAGTGGGGCCATCTTGGTACAGATGCAGCAGGTGAAGGAAGATGGGCATTTGAGAATGACCCACTGAAAGGTTCCCCAAGTGGTCCTAGCACCAGGAGCTTGTCACGGAGTGGGGGCTTCATACTGTTGGTTTGCAGGCCCTGATTTGTGCTTCTGGAAAGGGGACAACCTCTGGCTTGTCTTCTGGGAAGAACAGTCTCTGGTAAAGAGAGGCTGGAGAGCCCCTAAGACTGGCCCTGACCCTTCTGAGCTGTGTTTCTCCTCTAGGGGCTGAGCTGGAGGAGAGTAGCAAAAACACGAAGAAGTTGGATGCCATGACCCTCATTAAAGAAGGTGGGAGTCGACACACATTAGGGCTGGGACCCAGGGCAGACAGGACCACGCTCCACTTTTCCACCACACTACAGAAGGAGGTGGCTGCTTGAAGCAGCTGTCGGGGACCCTCATTTTGATAGGTCTGAGTCGGCCGGTTGCTCTGGCTCCTGTGACCTGTTGTTGGAGATCCTAATCATAGGTGATTGCCCACTCACCTGAAAGCGCATACCCTTTGGGACTGCTTAGATTGAACTCTGGAAGCTGGGAGCATTCAGCATGGAGCCTGTCATGTCAGCGGGGAGGTGAAGTGCCCTCTGAGTGGTGGGGTGGGAGTGCTCTCCGATCTTTCAGGGAAACCCTGGGATCCTCAGCCCCAGTGACATGGGCTTCTGTCATTGCAGACATGTCCATCTTCGGGCACTGCCCTGCCCATGACGACTTCTATTTGGTTGTGTGTAACCACTGCAGCCAAGTGGTGAAGCCTCAAGCCTTCCAGAAGCACTGCGGTGAGGGGAGCCCTAGGATGGAGATGGAGGGACAGGGGAGGGTAGAGCAGGCAACTCTGAGGACAGGGTCAGTGGGGAGGTCTCCTGGGGTAATGGAGGGTGGTGTTGAGGATAGGAAAGTCCTGGGGGTGGCTTCAGAGCCTTGTGGGGGCTCAGGTTATTGTAATTCTAGCATCCTGTGGAGCGAAGGGAGGTGTTAAGAGGTTCAGGAAGCTAGGTCTTGAATTTAGAGTCTTGAAGGCTCAGATTCAAATGGGAAGGAGGTATGTTTTCAATCTAATTTAAGGAAACTCAGATTCTCTCATGTGAGTCTATAGACAGGGTTAGGTTGGGGAAGGAAGCGGTGATACCACTCACCTTGATTATTCTTTCCACCTCCTGGTGACAGAAAGAAGACATGGGCCCCTCAGCAAGCTTTATGCCCGGGCCCCACCCCCACCTCCAGCCCCTGCCAGCTCTCAGAAATGCCATGTAGTGAATGGGCAGGGCCCAGCTTGTAGGGCCCCAGGTTCCACAAAAACCTCCTCCAGGGAGAAGGGCCAGGGGTCCCGGAGCCGTGGCCACCAGCCTCCTGAGAAGACCCAGAAAGACAACCTCTGGTAAGAAGAGGCTGGAGATTTTCTAAGACTGGCCCTGACCCTGACCCAGGGAGGGGTTGACACCAATAGAGGCAGCCCTGGGTTGAGGCATACTCCTCACAGCAGGAGCAGCGCCTGTCTGCAGCTTCCTTCTGTGTGCTCCAGGGAAGATGGGGTCTCTTCTTCCCATGTTTCACACCCCTGCTGGAGCCCACCCAAGTTCCAGGGCTGGGAAGGAGATGGGGCTGGGCTAGAGTCCAGGCCCCAGGCCTCTCCTCCCCTTCCCCAGCCAACCCCCTCTCTCCATGTGTAGCCTTTTCGTGCCTGTGGTGAATCTGGAGAAGATGTCCAGTCTCCCGAAGCCCGATGGACACGGAATCAGGGTGGCCCCACCCTCTGCTTTTCTCAGCCAGCCAGGGGGCCTCACCAAGGACTCCCCTGGAAAGCCTCCCATGGCTCTCCCTTCTAAAGAACCTCCTGGCAGAGAGAACATCGAGATCATCCCCAGTGAGGGGTCCAGTCACCGGGCTGAAGGTAGCCCTCCTGAAAAGGAGCCCAGTGGGGCCAGGCTGCCACCCAAAACCCACCGGAAGATGGCTCGTGAGTAGTGTGGGCTTGGGGATGTGGAAGATTGAGTGGGGACTCCTTTGGGTGGCTTTGTCCTTCGGCCAGAGAGGGAGGAGGTCAGGTTTATGAGCCTGACTATCACAGGTTGAAGGGTACAGGAGCCCCTGTCACGTCTTGACTTACTTCCTTCTTGGGAAGCTTCTCTCCAGCCCGTGTCTCCTGATGCAGTCCATGCCCAGGAGGTGAAGTTCTTTCTCACTCTTTCTCACCTAGATCCAGGGCGCCAGACACATGTCACAACTGGCTTCTCTGACATCCCAGATACCCATGGCTGCTTGTGGTTCTTGATATGTGTTGCCCTGCTTTGGGCTTGAAGTCCCAAAAGGAGCACCTGAGATTAGTATAGGGATGGTTCTCAAACCCAGCAAAGAGGTGTTGATGCCTAGAAGTTTCTCTGGAAGGTGAAGCCGCAGGCTGAGGGCTGGAGGCGCTTCTGCCTTAGTCCCAGTTCTTCTCAGGCCCTTGGCAGGAACCGGCCAGATCCTCCTTTGGAACTCCTGGAAATGGTTTTGAGGTTCATTGAAACTGCTTTCCCCACAGGGAAGGAGTGCGACCTCAACAGGCAGTGTGGGGTAATAAATCCAGAGACCAAAAAGATCTGTACCCGCCTGCTGACCTGCAAGGTAACCCCCTTCCCACTGCACAGTGAGGGAGGACAGCACAGGGCTTGCCCGCTCCTTCCCTGGCAAGGAGAGGAATGTTGATGTTACTAAAGAGCCAGGTTAAGGGAGGGTGGTTAGGCCTACCTTAGTGAAGGGGAGATGGGGATGCCCCTCCTGGGCAGAAGATGGGGACAGTGGGCAGGGGTGGTTTCCGGATTCCCCCATCCTAAGGGAGGGTTTTGGCCCCATGGAGGAGGGAAACAAAGACATGCGAACACACCTGCAAATATGCCCACCCTGCCGTCTCTCACCTCTGCTGAGTTCATACCTGCTCCCCGGCTCTCTACCCTGCTGTATTCTAGATCCACTCAGTACACCAGCGCCGGGAAGTCCAGGGCCGAGCCAAGGACTTTGACGTGCTGGTGGCAGAGCTAAAGGCCAACTCCCGGAAAGGGGAGTCTCCCAAGGAGAAGAGCCCAGGGCGCAAGGAGCAAGTTCTCGAGCGCCCCTCCCAGGAGCTCCCTTCCGCAGTCCAGGTTGTGGCAGCAGTGGCTGCTCCCAGCAGCACTTTCTCTGTCCGTGCCAAGCAGACCTACCCATACTGTGCACTGCCCAGGTACGTCTAGCATCCAACCCCTACCTCACCTGGGGGTACTTGGCCCCTCAGCCATCAGGGGCCCCTGGAAACAGGCTCATGGAGTGTCCTGGAAGATGCACTCACTCAGCCCTGAGTGTGGGGGGAATCCTGGGGCTCCTGACAGGGGTGTGGAAGCAGGAGATACCCCTGTTCCCATCCAAGCATACCACAGCACCCCAACTGCTCAGCGGCATGCCAGATCCAACACTTGGGATATGAACATTTTCCCAGCTGCCTCCAACAGGCCGAATCTTGTCATTGGGGAGCCGAAAGGGTCACAGTCCCAGGCAAGGCAGCCCTACGTGTATTCACTCACTGGCTCCTTCGTGTGCAGAGGCTACGCCGGACCCCGGGGAGAGCCTGCCTTGCTGAAGGAGACACACGTGCATCTCTGCCTGTCACACAAGGGGCAGACACGAAACAGGTTCAGCTCACAGACAGGCTTACATGAATATGTGATGCAAGAAGGGGGTTGAGCGAGTTGACTGGGATGACCAGAGCTGGGTGCAGTTTAACTGTGAAGATTTTCTGGAGGAGGTGGATCTGGAGCAGATTATCCCCTGAGGAGGAAGGGGCTGGGAGGTGAAGGGGCTGGGGAGAGAATCCCTTGGGAGCGGTCTTTCTGTCTCTTACTCTGTGAGCTCTGTGGTTCCCTCCTGTCCTTCCCTTCCCTCTGTCCTCTTCTGATTGCCCTGCAGGGTGTCTGCCCCCGTGTCCTGCTCTGTGAGCTTGGCAGGTTCAAGGATGCCCCTACACTGACCTCACAACAGTCACATTCCCCTCACATCCCCTTTGGCCCTTCCAGGTCCCGGGCCTCTTCTGAGAGTGAATTGGATGATGAAGGCCCCTGTGGTGGTGATGGGGACCCAGGCCTGTTCCCCTTCCCCATGCCCCGGGGTGGGGCCCAGGCCTCCAGCGAGGAGAGTGAGGAGGAGGGGACATCTGATGACCTCCACCTCCCCCCTGACTGCCATTATGCAACCCGGCCCCCGAGGCCACAGGCGGTAAGGACCTGGGGCAGGGGCCTAGGGTGGGGGTGGCCCAGCACTCCTGGCCCACAATATGGGGAGGAGGTCAGATCCTGTGTGCAGATGCCCTCTGTGTACCTCAACCCTGCCAACCATGCACCTTCCTTCTGCCTTTAGTTCTGCACATTTGGGAGCCGGCTGGTGAGCCCAGGATGCTATGTATTTAGTCGCCGGCTGGACCGGTTCTGCTCGGCACTCAGCTCCATGCTGGAACGGCACCTCAGCTCACACATGTGGAAGTAAGTCTCTTGGGCCCAGAATGGAAGTTCTAGAGCGGACATTCCCAGGCTCCAGACATACCTGGGCTTCAGAAGCCCTGATCTTTCCTGTATACCCATAGGTGTGCCTTGGCTGTTTGCCAGCAGGACCCTAGATAGGGAGTGGCACGAAAAGGAGGTGGGAAAACTTGGCAGCATAGAGCTTGGCTAAGGCAGGGCGTGGAAGGGTGGTCTGGGGGTGAATCCAGACTCTCATCCATCACTTCCATACCTTTTGGGTGACTAGAGATAGGGGATGCCCCAACCAAGATTTAAAATGAAGTTCCTAGTGGGTCACCTCCTAGTTCATATATGCGGCTAATTTCTCTCCACAGGCACATCCCTGTGCCATCTTCCTAACCCTCAGTTCCAGCATCTCCCAGCAGATGGCAGCAACTCTGGGGCTCTGCTGGCCATTTCTAGGTGGGGCAGAGACTGGAGTGTGTCTTGTGTTGGGGGAAGCTCTCTTGTTTACTTGGAAGTCACAGCGGGTTCTCTTTTCGCTGCAGGAAGATTCCACCGGCGACCGAGCCTCCATCTCACCTTGTCAGCTCCCCCTTATCTGCTCCCCTGAGCCCATCCTCTACAGGCAGCTGCCCCCGCCTTCCAGGTCCACCCCCCAGACCTGCCTGTCCAGCCTCCACGCCCCCTACCAAGGACAGCCTTGTCCCCAGCTACCCTGCAGGCTCCCCCAGCGTGGCGGCCGCCTGTAGCCAGGCAGAGTGCATGGGCGGGAGCCAGGCTATCACCTCACCACTGCCTGCCAACACGCCGTCCCCGTCCTTCAGCAAGCTGCCGCCTTCCAAGGCCAGCAAGTCATCCAAAGGCAAGGACGGGGTGGAGATGGAGGCCCCTTCTCGAAAGCGGAAGTTATCCCCTGGCCCCACCACTTTTAAACGGACCTGCATCCTGGAGCCCACTGGAAAAGGCAAACCCTCTGGCTGCCGGGGCCTCTCGGCCAAGACTAAAACAACCCTGAGCATGGGGCTTAATGGGACAATGGGGCCAAGAGTGAAGCGGGCAGGGCCCCTGGACTGTCGTGGCTCCCCTCATCAGCTCCCCACAGCAGTCAAGGCTTCTCAGCTGGAGAACCGGGGAGCAGCTGGACACCCAGCCAAGGCCCTGTCAACCAACTGCCTCTCTGAGGAGGAGGTGGCCAAGAAGCGGAAAAACCTGGCTACTTACTGCCGGCCGGTGAAGGCCAAGCACTGTCAGGCTGGTGCCCCTGCTGATGCGGCCTGTTCTGTGCGCCGCAGGAAGCCAGGCCCGGCCCTGGCCTTTGAGGAGAAGTGCTCTACACTGAAGGTACCAGCCAGGCTTCCTGAAGATTGACGAGGGTGGGGTACACAGTGGGTACCTGGTACGGAGAAGATGCAACAGTGGTGTTTGTGCAGGGAAAGGGAGGAAGGGGAAGTTGAGAGAGAGTTCCTGGACTGTTTTCCTTAGGAAGAGGTAGGTCAGCTCTCAGCAAAGTGACTCCAGCATTTGCCTAGTGAACCTTCCCCTATCCCTAACCCTTTCCCTTGGGCTAAGGAGATGCAGCACCCCTCCACCCTTGCTTTTTCTGTAACCAAAGGGCCACTTGTTTCTGAATTGGCTGTGACCCTCATTCCAGGTATTGGAGCTACCTCTGTTCCCTGAAGGAAAGGGAGTTTGAGTCCTTGGGTCACAGCCTAACATGCCGAGCAGCAAGGTGGGTGGGCTGGTCTTGCTCACTGGTTTTTCCTCTGGGCATTAGGGCCTTGAAGGGCAGGCACACAACCCCATGCCCACTTCTGCACGTGTGCCCACCTTGCACATGTGCTCACCTCCAGCCGTGTGGGTGACAGATAGGTTCTCCAGGATTACTAGTAAAGCCTGTAGCCAGTTTTATTTGCCTGTTCTGGTGGGATCCCTGGTGTAGCGTGCCATGTGCTCTCCATATGATCTCTGCCAGGAGGGACTTACTGGAGGTGGGATGGGGGTGCTCTCCTGGGTTAGATGTGGGCCCATAAGCCATGTGTGTTCTCCAACTTCACTACCCAAACTGGCTCTAGTGAGCTGACATTCATCTTCCCCCTTGCCCAGTTTTACTCCCCAGGCCAGCAGAAGGAAATCAAGCTTTAGCCCCTGTAATCCACACAGTTCACCAGAAGGACAGCAGGCAGGCCCCCACCCTGACCCTTTCTCTTGCCTCTTGTCTTCCTGCAGTCAAAAGCCCATTAATGAGAAAGTGCCTGCCCACTGCAACGGAGCCGCCAGCACCTCCTCCCCTCCAGATCCGGGCCCCGGGCTGCTGCCGCTTTTTATAACTTTATATTATTTTTTTTAAGAAAAAAATCTCTTTAAAATACCTCAAGACTGTCTCCCTGTTCTGTTGCTGCTATGAAAATATAAAAACAGAAACATAGAAAAGGAAGGGAAAAAAATAACAAAATGAGTGTCCTTACTGTCCCCAGCCCTACCCTGGGTGGCTGAGATGATAGGCAGCCAGACTCCAGCTCCCATAGCTTGCCTGCAAAAGTCTCTGATGCTCATTATTATTATTGTCATCTTGTCATTTTCAGTAGTGTGAAAATGCATGGGGTTTGTGTCACTGGGAGAGTGTTCTTTCCAGACCGGATGATGAGGTGTGTGGCTCTGAATGGGCAAGGCTTCCTGAGTCTTGACCCCAGAGACAACTATGGTCCCATTGGTAAGAGAAACGAGAGGGAGAGCTGCACCTCTGGCTCTTCTCTAGGATCCTTGCCCTTAGGGTCTGGGAATTGGCTTGTGGAATTGGTTGTGGTCCTCCAGCAACCCTAGGCGTCCGTCCCTTCCTGAATTATTGCCTGTTTTTCTTCAGCTGTTCCTACTTTTCCGACCTCTTACCAGCAGCCTCATTTTCTCAACCACTTAGGGAGCTTGAGCTGGGCGGGTCATTGCTGTTGGAAGTTCCTGCTTTCTATTGGACAGCCTTTCTTCCCGGCCTGTGGGTTTGCCTTTAAGGAAGGGGTAGAACCTTTCCCAGGGAGGCCTTCTTGGGCTGAACCACACCTTTTTTGGAGGCAGGAAGGGAAAAGGCATCATCACTTGCAGAACTGGTGGTGTGGGAGGCCCTGCTCCCTCAGGATCACCTGGCTCCTCAGGGCTGAGCAGCTGCTGAGGAGGCGGCAGGACTGGGAGTGCCCTAGTTATTCCATTTATCTCGCTGGGGACAACTGTGCAGATAGGAGATGAGACTTGCATCTCTCTCCTTTGGTCAGCCAGGTTCAAGGCAGTATATTTTAGCCCTGTCCTTTCCTATTTGCCTTGCTTTTAGGCAGAGAGGAAGCTTGTTCCCTGAACAAAACAAAAGGAGGCGACAGGAGACAGTGCACAGCAAGGGAAATCCAGTACTACTAGAAATCGGCCCCAAACACTGGTTTCACACTCTTGGTTCAGCATACTAAGTGTCTGATTTGGGGTTTCACTGAAATCGTTTGCCACAAATGTAATTTCCACAGGCTGCTTGGGATTTAGGCCCTTGTACACAGACACACAGATACAAATGAAGTGGTCCGGGAGCTGTCCGGTCCCCTTCTGCCTCCGGGCTCTCGCGGGAGCGGGCCTCTCCGGAGTACTCGCGCTTCCCCCCCAGCCCCCAGAGGGCGCTGTGGTCCACACCGCCGCACTGCCGGAGGCGTCCCCGGGGTGGAGCCTCTCCGGCAGCCGCCTCCGCCTCCGCGATCGCAAACCCGGAAGACGTGCTCGGGCAGCTGGAGTGTGCGGGCCTGCTGGGCACGGCCATGCAGCCCCTGGAGGTAGGTCTGGTTCCCGCTCCAGCTGGGGAGCCGAGACTGACCCGCTGGCTGCGGCGAGGCAGTGGGATCTTGGCGCACCTGGTAGCTTTGGGCTTCACCATCTTTCTGACAGCGCTGTCCCGGCCAGGAACCAGTGAGTGTGCGGGGCGGGGCGGGGCGGGGCTGCGGAAGGGGGCGGAGCGGAGATGCTGGAGGGGCAGCGCTTGGGAGCGCCGAGAGACTTGGAGGAGGGACCCCAGCTGTAAATGGGAGACAGAGACAGTGGAGGGGTTTTGAGGGCCTGGTGGGCGGGGGCGGGGCCCCAGGGGTCCTGGAAGAATGGGGCTTTGGGTGCTGTGGGGGAAGGGCAGACAATTGAACAGACCGAACTACTTCCTCAGAAACAGGTCCCCTGTTGGAGGATAGAAGTGAAGGAGGCCGGGCTTGGTGGGTCACGCCTGAAATCCCAGCACTTTGGGAGGCAGACTCGGGTGGATCACTTGAGGTCAGGAGTTCGAGACCAGCCTGGCCAACATGGTGAAATCCGGTCTCTACTAAGAATACAAAAATTAGCCGGGTGTGATGGCGCACACCTGTAGTCCCAGCTACTGTGGAGGCTGAGGCAGGCGAATCGCTTCAACCCGGGAGGTGAAGGTTGCAGTGAGCCAAGATCACACCACTGCACTCCAGCCTGTGCGACTCCGTCTCAAAAAAAGGCAGAGGTCTATCCTCTATTCTAGGGCTGAGCTGCCAGCTGAGAGGTGCTGAACGGGGAACCCAGACCAAACTGTTTGTGTGTATAGGGAGGCCCTATTGGTTGCTTACCTTGGGGGCCCTTAGCTGCTCCACTTTGTCCTTAGTTCCTATTCCCGATTAGGGTTGGTGATGCTACTCTTCTCCTGTGGCTGGATTCTTTGGGATCCACCTAGCTACAGGGGCTGGAACAATGGTATGGAGCTCTCAGCCTCTTCTCTTTGATTCTTAGGTCTTTTCTCCTGGCACCCTGTATTTATGGCCTTGGCGGTGAGTTTGGGCTTCTATCTGATTTGTTTGGGTATGTCCCACCTCACCCCAGGGAAGCACCCAGCCTTCAGAAAGCTCAGCCTTTCTAAGGCTAAGACGGGTGGAGGAAACATCTAGGGCTCATCTTTCCCTGCAGCCTATGGGATTTGGAAAGCAGAGGGCTGGGCCATAGGCAAATGTCAGGTGGTTGAAAAGGGTGCAGGGCATGGAAACTTCTTTCTCCATTGGGGTCTGAAGGAGAAGTGGGGTGAGGTGTTATCCAATCATCTCCCTACTTGTCCCCAAATTTCAGGAGGAAGTTTAACATTTGCTGTTCCACTGGTCAAGAAATGGGAGTCATTGTAGAGGTTGGGGTGGGGAGATGTCAACCTGAACGAGGAGACTTTGTTACCAGAAATGTTGAGCTGCGAGACTGGTAATCCTGGTGGAACTTATTTAAACCCTATCCTCTTTCCTCTTCGTTAGGGTGTATGAGAGGACCTCCTTTTTCTCAGGCCTCCAAACCAGACATGAAGCTTACTGCTCTCTCCTATGTTCACAGTTCTGCCTCTGCATGGCCGAAGCCATCCTACTCTTCTCACCTGAACACTCCCCGTTCTTTTTCTGCTCCCGAAAAGCTCGGATCCGGCTCCACTGGGCAGGGCAGACCCTAGCCATCCTCTGTGCAGCTCTGGGCCTGGGCTTCATCATCTCCAGCAGGACCCGCAGTGAATTGCCTCATCTGGTGTCCTGGCACAGCTGGGTAGGAGCCCTGACACTGCTGGCCATTGGTGGCCAGGCACTGTGTGGGCTCTACCTCCTCTGTCCTCGGGCAGCCAGAGTCTCGAGGGTGGCTCGCCTCAAGCTCTACCATCTGACATGTGGACTGGTGGTCTACCTGATGGCTACAGTAACGGTGCTTCTGGGCATGTACTCAGTCTGGTTCCAGGCCCAGGTCAAAGGTGCAGTGTGGTACCTGTGCCTGGCACTGCCTGTGTATCCAGCCCTTGTGATCATGCACCAGATCTCCAGATCCTACTTACCAAGGAAGAAAATGGAAATGTGAGTTCCTGCAAACTCTGAATCTAGGTGGGACATTTGCCTTGGACTTCATGGTTCCTTTGGTGGTCTACAAGGGATCTGTTTCAGAAGTGGTCAGGTTTTTGCATTTCTTGGCTGGTCCAGGGACTGCAGAAACCAAAGTTGCTATTGCTGAGGAATAATTCAGTGGGTCAAAATGGGGAAACGTACTGGGTACGAGTGGAAGGTGATGGAGAGCCTGATCCTGAAGCCTCTACTTGATGAGAGTCAGTTTTGGGTGGTGCTAGTGATGTGCTGGTGGTCATTTCTTGCTTGTGTGCCTGATGAAAAATTGTAAGTTATGAATGGCCTCCATGGAAATTTGGCTTACTTTTAAGAAAGGAGTGTGATGTAGTGGAGAGAGCCCATGGGTCTTGTTTATGGGATGTGGCACTCTCAGGCTCTGATGTACAACCTTAGGTACATCCCATACCTTAAGACCTCCGTTTCTTCATCTGTGAAATGTTTCTAAGCAGTCTCTAAGTCCCTTCCATCTTAATATTCAACATCTGTCAGGTCCATGTCTCAGAACACCCTCCCAGCTGGGAACCATGTGGACCACTTAGCAGACTTGGGGTAGTTCTTCACTCTCCTGTTTCTCCCCTGGAGGGACAGCTCTGCCCTTGAGGCCCTTCAGAAATTTGTGCTGATTTGGTCCCTGTACCAGGGCATAGGGGGGTCAGACACTGTGGAGAGAAGGGACTCAGATGAGGGTCTTCTGGACTCTAAGACAGTGAAGGCATTAAAGTCACTTTAAGGCTTTAGGAGGAGCAGGAGGGCACTGGCATCTTCCTTCAGCCCACCTCAGGATCTGGGCTTTCTGAGCCAAAGAAAACAAAGTTTCTCTGGTTCCCCCTCTTGCCTTTTTTGTTATCTAAGCTTTCCTCAGTTGTCATCTCTTGCCAGCTCTTTGGTCCAAGAGGGGACTGGGTTTGGTGCCAGCTGGCAAATGAGGGCTGGCCTCTCTTCCCCACAGAGAACCCCCCTCCTTGTTGCAGCTGAAAGTAGTTCCCCAGACTGCCCTCGGTGGCGAGGACTGGACCAGGAAAGTGCTGCTGAGGCAGGTACACATAGCTCACAGGGAACGCTGGGAAGCCTGGGGTGTAGGCGCTGGAGCTCCAGTTCCTGGGAGCAGGGCAGGTGTTCTTAGATGTTAATGTTGTGGATGACCTGGGTCTTCTGAAGATTCAGGTCCTCCTCTCCGTGTAGCTCAGAAGAAAGGAGGTTGGTGTGATTCAATAGTACAAGAATGGAGACAGCAAGGGCAGAAGTGTCCTCTCTGTGTACCTCATTATGCCCCTCCTGGGGGAGACTGCATCTTCCAGGACAAGCATCTAAAGGAGGCCCCTGCTGTGCAGAGGGGTGATTGTTCCTGTCTCTTTCATTGTCCTCCCTGCTCTCAAACTATCCAGTGTGGTGTGAACTCGGAAGAAACAGTTACTGGGGCTGCATGGAGAATCTCACCTGTGGTGATTTTGATCCAGGGACTGCATCTCCTCTTCCCACATCACAGCCAATGCTGAGGGGCTCACGCTACCTGCAGCAGGGTAGGAGGGCCAGGCAAAGTTCACCAGCTTGCTCTGAGAGCAAGCAGGCAATGCCGTAAAGCCTGAGCCTGCCTGAGGTGCTGCCTCCTCCCAGGTGGTGCGGGGGCTGATGGGCGGGCGGGCAGGCATGCTGACAGCCGGCAGTTTGCGTGGGCTGTGCCATCTGATGTCTATTCCCAGCCCTGGGAGGAAGGGGGAGTCATTTATATTCTGCAGGAGGAAGGGGCCCCAGCTGTCGCCTTTCTGACCAGCGGGCCTGGAGGGCAGGGGCACAGAGCAGAGAGGAGGGCACAGGTGGTCTCCTGCTTAGCCTGGTCTGACTGCAGTATAGGAACAGGTCACCAGGAGGAGCCCTTCATCCTGCCAGGCCGGATTGTGGAGTGACTTCCCTCCCCCGTTTCCATTTCTCCATCACCACCTGTCCTCACATCCTGGGGCAGCAGCTGGACAGCCATTAGAACTCAGTGCCAGGGCACTCTTCCTCCAGCTGGGATCTCAGTGGCTCCCAGCTTCATGACCTCCTGCTTGTATGTTCCCTCCTCCTCCATCCTCTGTTCCACGCACCTCCCCTTTTCTCCTTATGTTTGGGGTATTCGCTTGGTTCCTCCGCAAGGAAGCAAACGCCTTGGAGGAGAAGCACGTGGTTGCCCTTTTGTCCTTGCTCCCTGGCTAGGGAAAGCTGCTAGTGGTCAGCCTGTTTTGCCTTAAAAAAAAAAAAAAAAAAAAAGCCAGGGCAGGGTGCTTAGATTTTAAAAATTTGTGTGTCATTTGCACAAATTTTCCTATCAAGCTAAGTCCTGATTCCATTTGATTATATTCCAAGTTTGATTATATTCAGATTCAACCTTGAGGACATTAGAAATATAGATGGCTTCTGTATCCAAATCTGAACAGAAATGAGATTACCTTTCTGGGTTCAGCTACCCCTCCCAAACCCCCATCTTTCCTGTAACTACCCCTCCTCTGACCCCCATCACGGCTGGAGTGGTATGGAATGAGAGGAGCTCTGTGTTGGGGAAGTCCTCCATCCTCACCTTCTTCGCTCTTAAGTGGTAGGCTGTTAGTACTTGCCAGGCTGGGCCTCCTCTCCCCCGACCCTTTCACAAGGCAGACTGCCCTTCCCCACTCACTGGCCCATCCTTTCTTTCTCATTGTCCCACCTTCTTCCACCCCCGTGCATGGATGCTATAGACCTTTTTTTTTTTTTTTTTTTTTTTGAGATGGAGTCTCACTCTGTCCCTAGGCTGGAGTGCAGTGGCATGATCTCGGCTCACTGCAACCTTTGCCTTTCAGGTTCAAACAATTCTCCTGCCTCAGCCTCCTGAGTAGCTGGGACTACAGGCACCTGCCCACCATATATTTGTATTTTTAGTAGAGACGGGGTTTCTCCATGTTGTACAGGATGGTCTTGATCTCTTGACCTCGTGATCTGCCCACCTCGGCCTCCCAAAGTGCTGGGATTACAGGCGTGAGCCACTGCGCCTGGCCAGGTCTTGTTTTTAAAATCTCACTGTGGGAGATTCAGGCATTCTCCCTGAGCCAGCTGGCTGCTGTGCCAAGGCCTGTTCAGAGTTAATGATAATCATTAGCTGAATGGTGCTGGGGCCTTTCAGCTTCAGATCTCTAAGCACTTGCAGGCCGAGTCAGCCAGCCCTGACCTTAGCCCTCTTCCTGGGTTGCAGAGTATAACAGAATGGGGAGGCACTGTGGGAAGGAAGTCAGGAAATCTTGCTGCTAGCCACACCTTGCAATGTCTGTCTTCTGGGAGTGGGCAGAGAGTCCTCTCAGTAAACTTGCAAAAATAAGACTTGCACCTGACAAAGGTCAAGATATGTAGGGAACACAGGGTAGGCTCACTGACTGTGGTGGTGGCAGGGGTGGCTGTTGAGCCTCAACTTCTAGTACTCCTGCCCTTCCTTCTGTTTACCTGTCTTGGCCTCCAGGGTGCACTCCTCAAGCCCAAGCATTTCTGGGGCTCCTCTGCAAGCTTAGAGAGCAGGGAGGCTTCTGGTAGTGCTCCTGATGCTCCTGTGTCTGGTTGGCACAAATCCTGTGTAACATGAAATGAAAGGTGCATCGGCCTGGGGGCTGGGAAACCTGCGGTATGAATTTACTCCGTCCCTATCACTGGTGTGGCCGTGGGCAAACCACTTATTGCTTGACCTACCTCACAGGGATGTTGTGAGGGTTAGATGGGAGAATGAATCTTAATAGGAATTGGAAAGTTCAAAGCATTAAACTAAACACATGTAAACAGGTGGTATTATTATGTTCTTGTCTTTCTCTTTCACTGAGCCAGGCTTTGGGCTTTATGCTTCTTAGACAATACAGTTATGGATAATGACAGGGGATCTAAGTCTCAGAGTTGTTTTTACCATTGTAAGAAAACATGGATACATTTCTTTCTTCCAGATGCAAGGCCAGCTCTTACTCCTGCCAGAAATGTCACCAAGGCCATGACTAGTGACGTTTGCCTTAAGTGCTGCCTACCTGGTGTTCTCAAATCACAGGGCAGACTGCAGAGCTTGGAGTCAGTACAGTTGCTCCCTAGATGCAGCCTGAACTTTCTGGAGCTGGTCTTTGTCAGGAGCTGCAGGTCACAAGTCTATCTAAATCTCTCCTAATTCTGCCCTTCTGAGGGAAAAGTGGGGCAGACAAGCTAGAAAGGGAGGAGCAACTGTAACAAACAGCAGTACCATTGACCCTCTGGTTTCCCGAAGCCAGAGATGAGCAACAGAATGAGCAACACCTGCCTCAAGCATTGGAGATGCAGAGCTGTGACCCCTGGCTTCCAGGGTCCACAGCCTGGTTTCCCTTTTCCTATTTCAGGCTTTTGGAGTCGGATCAGTCCCCTCCTCCTCAAAGTGCTTTACTGGCATTCACATACACACACACACACACACACACACACACACACATACACACACACACAGAGAAAGCAGTTCTGTTTAAATTTTAAATTGGGGAAGGATACTTTCCATTCCATTTGTCTGAGAGCAGCCAGCAGTCTGCCTGGAGTGGATGCAAAGAAGCAGGAACAGCAGCAGTGCAGAGGCTCGAATATTCGTTTTTTATCTTAATTGTTTTTTCTGTCCTGGGATCCAGGAATGACACACTAGTCAGGCATTGTGTGCTGAGCCTCAGCAGCTCTCTCCAGCGCTGCACAGAGAAGACAAGCTGAAAGGCAGAACTGCCCTGGAGGGTGGTTTGAGGTAGCCTGTCTGCAGCATGGGCTGGGCTTAACGGTTAATGTAGGCAGAAATTACCTCCAGCGAGGAAACCTTCTCCTCACCCACCCACTCAGGGGACTTGGCTAGTCACCAGATGTGTAACAGAATAACAATCTGAGTTTTTAAATCCACCTCCTATTGTTAGAATTTCCCAGATGAGTTTTTAACCTCTGTTGGAAGCAGATTAAGGAAAGACTTCAGGCTACTCAGTGGTATCTGAGGAGCCAACTCTGTCTTATTGAGTATACATGAGTGGCCCCCTAGCTTCCCTATCTTTAAAGCAAAGTCCCAGTTATCTCATGGTACTTTCTAAGGATGCTCAGTTCTGCTCAGGACCCCCAAAAGCAAACTACAACCAAGTGAGGAAGCAGTGGGAGGTGAAAGAAACAAAGTACAATCCAGCTCCAGTACTCCCCAACCTGTATGTGCACACATGCACACACACACCCGCTTTGGGGCAACGACTCCTGCCTGATGTATGCCAGTGCCAAAGGGCATCCCGAAGTCCCACTGCAAGGCTCCACGTCCTGGCTCACTGCAGGTTAGTTCTCTCAGGCCATGGTTCCAACCAGGGAGAGAAAACAAGCTGACTAGATTGGAGGCCTCAAGGCAGGTCTAAGTGTCATCACCATTTTGCATTTTCCACCTGAGAGTGTAGAAGCTTGATGAAGGGGCTTGACTGGCAGCTGCTTTAGCCTTCCTTTCTCAAGCCTCAGGAGAGGAAGCATCCAGCACAGGCTTATTGTGGCTGGACCAGAAAAGCCAACCATCCCACTGCAGGGCCTGAGCCTTTTCTGCTCTGTGGGTGGGGAAAGTGAAGCTTCCCCACCGGTTTCCTGGGAGACACAAGATAAGTGGTGCAAGAACTGCAAATACAGAAAGGGAAGGAGAGACTAGGGGAGAGAGGCGAGGCTGGCCAATGCACTGAACTCTTTCATCTGTTCTAAAGGAAAGCTGTCATGTTAGCCTCTTCCCTCCCTGCAAGTGCTACCTAAGAGGAGCCAGGAGTGCTACAAGGCGTGGCAGACAAAATTGCACACCTTGGCCAGAATCTAAGGAACTTCTTGTGGCATGGGGGAGATGGTGGGGATGTGAGTGGGTGGGTGGAGATGTGTGTGGAAGAGATGCAGCCATGGACTTCTTTGGGCCGGACACAGGCCAAAACAGGAGAACTCCAACTAGTCTTCATCAGACTTGCTCTGCTTATCAGCGTCATCCTGTCAGCCATAGCAAAAACTGCTTTGCAGATTAAAAAAACTGTATAAATGCAGAGTATGGGAGTGCTCTGACATCAACAGCTGTCATTTCACTGACTGCCAAGGTAGGCTTGTCTGATGTGTCTGGTTGTGCAGTAGCTCCACCCCTCATCACTTTGGCTGTTACTCAGCTGAAAAACAACTTTCCAGATAGAGGAGGGCTGCCCTTCGGTCAAGACTTCAAGTATTCAAATTGATTCTTTTAATTTTTTTCCTTATATCATTTCCTCTCCCCCTTTGGAATCTGCCATGACAGTCCCCTTCTGGAATCACCAAGGGAGTGGCCAAAGAATCTGCATGGTTACAGTTTAGAATCCAGTCCAATTTCTCGTAGGCTGAGTCTGCACCAAAAAGTAGAGACTGCATTTTTCCATTCCACGTAATGCTTAGGACACACTAGACTGTCAAGGAAGATTACCCTGGCCATTAGATGAATATACTTTTAGCCTAAGATGGCTACTATTTACAACATGAAAATACTAATTTAAAAAATTCTGTGAAAGTGAGCTGCTCCCTACCATTTTCTAAGACCCAATCCAAACATTTTTTCCATGGTATGGTCAGTAAGCTTGATCCAGACTTTTAAGAGAACTCTGCAGGGAGGCAACCTTCCACCCTAGGAATCCAGGAAGACTTAATTATCTACAAGCCTCAGCGCCAAGTCATGGGATTTCTAAACTCTAAAGCTTCAGTGACATTTCTTTTGAGAATCTTATCTCAGGGGTCAGCAAACTGATAAGTTTGACCTCTTGGTCAAACCAGCCCTTGCCTGGTTTTATGTGGTCTGTGAGCTAATAATAGTTTACATATTTTTTAATGGTTGGAAAAACTCAAAAGCCATGTTAAAATTATATGAAGTTCAAATTTCAATATCCATAAGTCAAATCTGATTTGGACCAGAGCCACAGACGTTCGTTTCTGTCCTGTCTGTGGCTACACTCAGGCTATCGCAGCACAGTTGAGGTTGTTACAGAGACTATATGGTCTGCAGAGCCTAAAATATTTACTATCTGGCTCTTTAGAGAAGATGTTTGCTGACCCCTGGTCCATCTTAACGCCTAGATGTGTATTTCACCCATGTCCTTATAATAGCACTTAAAGATTTTCTTCCTAGATAGGCCACACCCTTCTGAGGTACAGCGAACCCCACCCGCAGGCTGAAAATATAAATAAACCAGTCAGATTGTGCCAGAACAGAGACTCAAGCCAGGTTTAATGATCATTGTCTAGTTTTCAGAGCCCAGAGGCTCCAAGATTTGCCACCCTAGGTGTACACAAGTGGGAGGAATGGGGTCTTGGACATGGGAGGCCTGCTTGGTCAGCAGAGCTACGAGGAAGTACAGAGGTAAGGACACACAGAAAACTGGATCTGTCTGCTTTGCTCTCCGCAGCTAAGGTGTACCCTCTCTTGGCCCCTTACTTGGGCTCCATAAAGCCAGACAAAAAAATAAAGATCACAAATATTACACAGACAGATTGTAGAGCCCTGTCATACTCTGTCTCCAGGGACACCTGCTTCCTAGGAGACATGTCAGGTTTATGGGTGCAGGGTAGGGTGAGAGGAGGTGGTGATTTCTCGGCCTTTTCTTATACCCACACCTGGCAGTTTTCAATACAGGGTTCTAATAAACGTACATATGCTGATTACTCAATTCTCCAGTTAAAAAGCTACCTTTGGGTTCTATCATCTGAAACCACGGGAAGAAGCGAATCAGTTACATCTCTTGGTAGGGCAGCCAGGTACATCTACCAGGTGTCTCAAACTCAAGGCCAAACTAGTGGATATAGTCGGGAGACTTAAGAGCTGCAAGGCCTTTTCTCATTCCCTAAACAGGGAAGGAATTATGAAAAAACGGCCCTCCTAGTCCTCAGGAGCTCCACCAGGATGCCCCAGAAGGCCTGCTTCATTTAACGCTCGCTTTAAAGATCTTCAGAGCCTTAGATGGTGCCAAGTGGGGAAACTGCAGCATGGAGATGATATTTTCCCAGATTTCCTGATGAGTCTGAGGAGGGAGTCCTGGTTCCTATAGTTCCAGTTAACAAAATTCTCAGGAGTCTCTGGAATAAATCAAGACAACTTTTCTCTCCTGAGTAGTTAACAGGCAGAGCCGCTCACAGCTGCTTAGCCCCCTGCCAGTTTCCTTCAATGACCTAGTTCTATCTTAATTGCTCAAATATATAGTCTTTAAGGGAGGTTTTTGAGGAGTCTGAAGAACCAGGTAGCTCCTCACCACTCCTTCTCCCAAGGTCTTCAACCCATGGTTCTTCTAACTGCAGCCTGGGCAGAAAAGTGATTCAGTGCCATGGAGATGTGGGTGAAGCTTCAGGGAGTTCAGAAATTAAAATACAGGAGTATTTGAAGAGCCTGGCATGGTCACTGTCTCTCCTAAAGGGGAATAAAATTGTGTGCGTGAAGTTGTGCACATTGGTGGAGACCAGTCTGAGAGCGGCATTAGTGGGGACTACAGATTTACTGTCCTGGTGGAAGTCAAGGTGCTGGTGTGCATGCATACCTATATAAGCATGCATACCTATGAGCATGCAGGTACTTGAGGGAAATGCTGCACCTCTCTCTCAACAAAACTAGGTTACTAATAAAGGATGGACAGCAGTCTTGAGTTCCCAGGACCAGACAAGGGGAAGATGTTGAGTCCCTTTCCCCAATCTTAATAGGAAGTTTAATAGTCCGGCCCTCAAAGCCCCTCACCCACAGATAAATGACACCTCTTAGAACATCAAAAGCAGGTCAGAAGTCTAGAGATCTGGATAACTTCCAA